ATCTTTTGATAAGGACAACAAGAGCTAAGCAGGAGTTTAAAAGTGGTTCTGAAGAAAAAACAAAGGCCCCTGAACCTATTTGGATGTCCCAGGGTCCTTCACTAAATTCCATGTTGCTTCACAGATCAGATGTTTTTATAATGAGATGATCTTTAGCTCCTCTTCCATGGAAATGAAATCCCAGCAGGCCACTGGGGGATATAGCTAACAATTATTAGTAGTAAAGGTGTAATCAGTAACCTTTAGCTTGTGTGTCCTCTTTCTCACCCTTTCCCCATTTTTCTGCTCCTGCAGTTGGCCCGACAATCTTGAACAAGATCGAAGCTGCCCTGACCAACCAGAACCTCTCTGTGGATGTTGTGGATCAGTGCCTTGTTTGCCTGAAGGAGGAGTGGATGAAGTAAGTACAGCTCCCTTGCTTCCAGAGGAGCAGCTTTGGTGCTGCTCCTGGAACAGCAACAGCAGAGTGCAGGACCCACTTTAGTCAGGTGACTTCTGCTGCAGTTCAGTTGGATTTACAGGAACAAATTAAGTCAGGAGTTAAGAATTTCCTACTCTAGTCCTAGCTCTCTTCTTGGCTTTCAGCAGTTCTTAACCTTTATGCTCCAGTTCACACATCTGTAGGTTACCTGCATGACAACACCTGTCTGCCTCACCTTGGTTAGGAGGATTAAATATGCAGATCCCTCTGTGCCTGTCAGTGTGGCCATACCCCAGCACAGGTGACACCCAAACACATGCCCGGGTCCTGCCTTCAGGCACTGCATTTCAGAGGTGCAGGCAGCTGTAAAGGAAGACCAGTCAGTCATGTGAAATAATTCATGGAACATCATGACTTTGTGAATTTACCTGAAGGCAGATGGGCACTGGATGTGTCTCCCAGTTGTCACAATTAATTGTTCTACTTTCTGCTAGAATGAAAAAGCCAAACTAGAAATACGCCCACTATTACTGAAAATGAGTCATCTCCCTAACTAATCACCCTCCTTTATCAAAGCATGAGAATAGTTTCAATGAAACATGGGTTGAAGCTTTTATTAACATTTAGTTGCAGTAGGTGCCAAGAGAAGCTCCAGCTCCTCCTTGTTCCCTGTTTGATGGTGTGTGAATCCATTTGATAATGACAGGAATCTCTTGCTCCTGCAGTAAAGTGAAAGTCCTCTTTAAATTCACTAAAGTGGACAGCAGACCCAAGGAAGATACCCAAAAACTGCTGAGCATTCTGGGAGCTGCAGAGGAGGACAATGTCAAACTTCTCAAGTTCTGGATGACCGGCCTGAGCAAGACCTACAAGTCCCACCTGATGTCAACAGTTCGCAGCCCGACGTCCTCAGAGTGCCGGAATTAAAGGGTGCCCAACCTCCCTGCTGCCTTCAGAGAAGGGCAGGGACCCCTGGTTACCTCTGCTGAGCCTGCAGCTTGTGCTTTAGGTGGATAGTGAGGCTTCTTCACTATTCTCCTGGTCCTCAAACCAACTTGAAGTGTGACTTGAGTCTTTTCTACTTGCTGTGAGACTGGACTAATAAGTGCTAATCCACAGTGCTGCTGTCTCTCCAGGAACTCAGCTCTCAATCTAGACGTGCACACTCAAGACTAAAACACAGCAACGCTCAAAGAATCAGCTAAATTAATTAAAATCCCATTAAGCATCATGGTGTGGCAGCAGGCCTCACCTTTAGGTTCCTTGGCAGGCCTGTGACAACATCCAGAACTCCTGGGAGTGCATATGGTTAATCTCACTGAAATCCCACATAAATCTCCTCAATGCCTGAGAGAACAAGAACCAAAAATAAGAGGCACGTCACAGGGTATGGATCACATGTAAATTATTTCAAACCACTTCGTGCTCAGATTTAAGAGACTATTTTCTGCTGTAGCATAAGTCAGGACATCCCATGGGAGTCCTGTCACTCCTCTTTATTTATTTATATCTTAACTTGAGACGGTTTTAGCATTTGCTTTGGAAATCTTGTCTGGGAGGGCGAATTGTAAAATTAGAAGTCTCAAAATGCAGCCTGCTTGCCTCTCAGAGGGGAAAATACTCGCCTTGTTTTGCCTGTGGTTGCAGAACTTCCAGGTAATGAAGATAACCTCGCCAGGATAAGGTTCTCTTCTGTCTTTTTTAGCTTCCTAATAAAGCAGAAGAGATTCAACCTGTAGGTGCTCCCTTATATAACTCTATAGTAGCCATTTTAGCTTAATAGTTTATGAAAACATTGGTGCATTTTTTAATTACCTAACCGGATATTCCTTAGCTGTTGTGTAAGGAATCTCTGTTTCTGTTGTGAAGTCTGGGGTTTATGTCTTTTCTTTTTGTTTTTCTGGATCATTATTGGGAACACTTGACGTTACCACAGATATTTTGAACAAGCTAAAGGCAGGTTTTACCCAGGTGACCTTCTACACTCACTCATGCTCAGAGAGGATGTTCCAGCTTGTCACAAGTTCTGTTCTTATATATAAAATATGGAGGTTGATTTTTGTCTGGAACATCTTAAAATGGAGACAGGCATTAAATCTCATAAGAGCTATTTTTGTAAAATGAACAAAGCCTGGTTTTGTGTTTATTTTTGCTGTGTGTGTGTGTGTGTGTGTTGTGGTGGGAAAGCAGCAGCTGATCCAGAAAATTCCTGCATCCTTAGCCTAGATCTACTGTAGAGAATTTAATACAGGTCTTTTTTCTTTGTATTTTCTTGTAGCCTGACCTAGTAATGTGTATTTTAAGGTGATTCTGGGCCAGTCCAGAGCTGTGTAACAGCAGGTGAGTTGTCATTTGGCATTGAGACCTTGATTGCTGAACTGGTTTTGTCTTTTAAAAAAACAGCTCTCCCAAGAAATCCAGCATCAAAACCTAACCTGGTGATTCCTTCCCAAACAGCAAAAGGGTTGAGCAGGGTCAAGCCTGAGGCTGCTGCTTCTCCCTTGCTCTTGGTGAGTCGGACGTTGATCCCTCTCCATCCTGACCTGAAACAATGGACAAGCAGACTCAGTTTTGAGCCAGGGCAAGGAAACCACTAACTTAACACTTACAAAATGCCCACAGGAGAGAAGGGGGAGAGCTGCCAAGTCAGTGAACCTACAGCCCAGCTGTGCTTGCCTGCCAGAACACATCTGGGCGTGGGATTACCAAATGATTGCCTGGGCAGGTTCCTGCAGCTCGCAGCTGAGGCCACGGGTGCTCCCTTTGCCGTCAGCGAGAGCTGGAATGTGCACAACTTAATTAACAAAAAAATCATGTCTGCAGACATCTTTCAGCACTCTCCTTCCCTCCAAACGATACGCCTCAGAGACAAACTGATTGAGGCAGGATAATTCTTTATTCCAGTGCGATTTCTGCCTGGCTGAGCAGCGTGTAGCTGGGAGCGGTGAGTGCTGCAGCTGCCGTGTGATGGAGCCAGTGCTGGGTCACTGCTGGCTGCCCTTACAGACAGCTGTGGCCAGCTGTGCCACCCCTGTCCCCTCAGCCCGGCAGGGGCCAGCAGGTGATGGTCACCCTCTATTCCACCCTCGTGAGACTCCACTGGCAGAGCTGCCTCCAGCTCTGGGGCCCATCTCATCACAAGGATGTGGAGCTCCTGGAGCGAGTCCGGAGGAGGCCACAAAAATGCTCCAAGGGTTAAAGCTGCTCTGCTCTGGAGCCAGGCTGGGACAGCTGGGGGTGTTCACCTGGAGAAGACCCAGGGAGACCTTAGAGCTGGAGAGGGACTTTGGACAAGAGCCTGCAGGGACAGGACAAGAGGGAATGGCTTCCCAATGCCAGAGGGCAGGGTTAGATGGCATATTGGGAAATAATTCCTCCCCGTGAGGGTGGGCAGGCCCTGGCACAGGTTCCCAGAGAAGTTGTGGCTGCCCCTGGATCCCTGGAAGTGCCCAGGGCCAGACTGGTCAGTGCTTGGAGCAACTTGGGCTAGTGGAAGGTGTCCCTTCCACTAGCCCAAGTGAATGATCTTTGGGATCTCTTCCCACCCAAACCATTCTGTGATTAGAAGATGTGTTGCGTGTCCGCAGCATCCGCTGCAAGGGCTCGGTGTGTGGTGAAGGGTTCGCTGTCAGGGCTGTGGTACTGGGGAGGTCTCAGCGGTCGGGGCCGGGGTTTGGGAGCCCGGGGCTGGGTCGGGGCCAGGGTTTGGGAGCCCGGGGCCGGGTCGGGGCCGGGGTTTGGGAGCCCGGGGCCGGGTCGGGGCCAGGGTTTGGGAGCCCGGGGCCGGGTCGGGGCCGGGGTTTGGGAGCCCGGGGCCGGGTCGGGGCCGGGGTTCAGAGCCCGGGGCAGGGTTGGGGCCGGGGTTCAGAGCCCGGGGCAGGGTCGGGGCCGGG